GGCTGGAAGATAATGAGAACTTATTTTAAAATGTTGATTATTTATTTATCTAATAGACAGTCCTCAATTAAGGCCACTTGCTTAGTGATTGTTCAAAGTTACAGCAGACCCATCCCAAAGCTAGCAAAGAAAGTTAGCACCCACTCCTCCTAGAAGAATTAACTATTTGGGGAAATATTAAGATTTTGGCCTGGATCTGAAATTTAAATGGCCAACACACAAACACACACACCACACACGGTCACATGACTGTATTTCAGGCACTCTGCAAACAGTCTACCTTCATGGCTATTTGTAGCACCCTGCAAATCACATGACCAAGATTTACTTTTTTGCCAAAAATTGCGACATATACTTCCGGTTTTCAGTCAAATTGCCCCATGGTAAACAATGAGTTCATTTCATGACTATGGGGGGTCACTTCATGACCACAGTGTTTGCTTAGTGAAAACTACAGAAAAGGTTGCAAAATTAGGTCCAGTCATGTAATGATCCTTCTTTACGACTGTCACAGCTTACTGCTGCAATGGGCAGGGGCCATTATGGTTTTAAGTCAAGGACTACTTGCAGGGGTGGGATGCTGCCAGTGTAACAACCGTTTTGGTGATCGCGCGCTTCGCTGCAGGCGGGTGAACAGCTTTCCGGAAAAACTTACCTGCTATGTTACTACTGGGGAGAAACAAAGCTGAGGAGCGGCAATCTGCTGTGCCGCGTGAATCAGCTGAGGGGATATAGGCAGGGACGGGATTCAATTTTTTTAACAACTGGTTCTGTGGGCGTGGCTAGGTGGGCATGGCCATGTGACTGGGTGGGTGTGGCACTTCCTCCTCCCATTTTTGGGCCTTCTGGGCCTCAGGGAAGCCTCCTGGGGGGGCATTTTTGCTCCCAGGAAGCGTCCCTGGGGCCCAGGAAAGCAAAAAATGGAGGGGGGGACGGGGTGTTGCTGTGCGCCCCCCTCCATTTTTTGCCTTCCGTGGGCCTCAGGGAAGCCTCTTGGGGCAAAGCAGTAAGATAGTGAGGGGAATCCCAGCACAGCTGAGCATAGGAACAGCTGATCGTCGGAGGTGGGGGAGAAATACCTTAAGGAGTAACTGGGCGGGGAAGAACACAGTAAGCAATGTTGGGCATGCGCACAATGGTGTGCATGTGCAATAAGGACTGACTGGATGGGGCGGGTGGAGAGGGGAGGGGCCAGCCAGGGGCACAATTTGTCAGTTCTCCGAACTGTGCAGAATCATAACAACCAGTTCTATAGAACCGGTCCGAACCAGTAGAATTCCACCCCTGGGTATAGGCAGGGGTGGGTGGGCAGGCCCACATGATTGTCAGAGCAAACTGATTCACTGCCAGCTGATCTTTGGAGGTAGAGGTTCACCCAAACCAGTCCAAACTGGTAGAATCCCACCCCTGACTACTTGTGTTTGTTAATTCAACTTGTATAGCCACACAACTCATTTTAGACTCTGAGCTACTTACAAGAGAATTTAAAAACAGTTGTGTCAAAACGATACAGCCAAACAAAACAGATGGGCAATTGAGGACACCAATCAATATGCTACAAAGCCCCATAAAGATTCATAACTGAGTTGTTTTAACTGTGAGAAAGAGAATAAGACTGTCGCCATTGTAAGGGGAATATGGTCTATGTCATTAATATTCTGCAAAGGACAATTTCCTTCCATTGTGTATTTGTGGGCCAGTCTGTGTAAAGGCTGTTTGGCAGAAAGTCAACCATTTTGTAATCTGTCTCAGAATTCTCTCCTTTTATACTGCTTTGAATTTGCTGGGCAAGTTTATCCATGAGCGTAGATAGCCTTGTGATTATTGTTTGATGAATTTCTGCATTCCTTTCTCAAAGCTCTCAAAGCTCTTGGGTCACTGTTTTCATTTTGTGACAGTAAGGTAATTATATATTGTGGGAAATATCTCCTTAGGCAGCAGATATCCAGTTTAAAAATGCTGTTCTCTATCATCATGATTTGATCAAGGTTGTAAAGATTGCAGGTAGTCCTCAATCTACAACCATTCATTTAGCATCTGTTTAAAGTTACAATGGCACTAAAAAGTGACTTATAACCAGTCCTCATACTTAGGACCGTTGCAGCATCCCCACAATCACATGATCAAAATCCAGGCATTTAATAACGGGCATGTATTAACAAAGGTTGCAGCATCCCCGGGTGTCATGCTCTTGTTAGAGTCAGACTCTGAGGGAGAGGAGGAACAGCTGACAGGAAGTGGAGGTGTGGCTCCGGAGGTTGTGGAGGAGGCTGGGGAAGGGCAGAGGCTGGGCAGTCAGAGGAAGAACCAGGCCCATCCCCTCTTCATCCTAGGATATGCAGGGAGGAACGGAGAAGGAAACAACTTGGCTTAATGAGAGAGGAAGCAGCCATGATCCCCCTCATTGGTTGCAGCTGGGGAGAATAGTATATAAGAGAGACGGTTAAAACACAGGGTTGCCAGAAGCAAAGCATGTGTTATTTTGGGCTGAAGTTATCTTGGTTGGCATCCTTCCAACAGTCTGTGCCTTGTTATCTCCTTGAAGTTGGTAATTACTTATCCTGGTCCATTGTGGAAATTCCTTCATTATCATTTGTTTTAGTTTTTTATTTCACCTCTATCTGCTCATTAAGTTTGGACTGTATTGCTGTCTTTTGAAGACTATTTTTGAATAAGTTTTACCTCCAACTGAGAATTATTGAACGGTGGGGCCAAGCTGGAGGCATTAAAGGACATTTATTTACATTTTGGATTGTGTTACGTTTATGTTACGCTCCGAGTCATCACACCGGGTCATATGATTGCCACTTCCAACCTTTCCAATAGACTTCTGACAAGCGAAGTCTATGAGGGAAGCTAGAGTCACTTAACCACAGCATGAGTCACTTATGAATCATGTTGTGGTTAAGTGGTTTGCTTAACAATTGTGGCAAAAAAAAATAGTAAAGTTGGGTACAACTCTCTTAAACTTGAATAGCAAAGGAAATTCTGGTCCTAATCATGTTCGTAAGTCAAAAATCACCTGTTTTTTTTCCTAGGATAATTTAATTGTTCCATAAATGATAGGTGGAAAAATGTGTTTAAAAAGCTATTCTGTAGATAGGAAGAGAATTCTGCACGCATATTACTTAGCACATTTTCATGTCCATAAACATGTGCCCTGGAAATGAAGCACTGGCTGATCTTCAGAAAGCTACAGCTTATAGGGTTGTCCAGTCTGCTTTTAAAGTGGAGGAACGTTCTCTTGGCTTATCAAAGACAATATGTTAGAAGTATTGGAAAAGTTGCCAAGACGCGCTAGGGAAGAAATAAGAATAACACACAGCCAAAATTCCATGAGCAAAAAGGAAAGAGAAGGGACTATGTGAAACTTGGCAAAAGGATAGTTTGCAAAAGCTGAGGCAGTTCTTTCTTTTCAAGAAAGGTTGCTTTAAAACATCCGGCATTTGACAAGAGTAGGAAGAGATTATGAGCACTTGTTAAACTTGTCCAGTTAGTTTATGTGAGATAAACTGACAAAATTCATATATTTTCCTGTCCTTTGAGAATTGCAAATGAGAGTATTTGCACTCTGTTTTTATTTCTCTAGCTGGTGCCAGTAGGAATAAGCAATCAAAAAATATGCCGCAGTCTAGCACTTGGTAGAGCAGCCATGAAGGCCTTGGAAAAGATACCCCAATGCTGTGATGTGTATACCTACAAAGATCAAACTTGTGCAAACCGTAACATTCCCTACTGAAGTTCAAATGGGACTTTGTAGAAGCAGCATAGGAAGAATAGCTTTGATGTTGGAGAAGACTCCTGAGGATACCAGGATCAACCAAGAAAACAAATGAATCATTGAACATCAACCCAAAAGTTCTCACAAAGGACTTGGCTCAAATTGTCCTGCTTCAGATACCTTCTTGGAATACCCAGCTCTCTGGAGAAGGCCCTAATGCTGGGAAAAGTAGAAGGAAAGAGAATGACCAGCAGCAAAGCAGATAGACTTAGTTACATGGCAATGGGTGTAACTGTTGGAAGACCCAAAAGAGGAGGTTAGGAATACATCATATGGAGAAAATCTATGTGAATGAAGGTGAATAAACACGTCCCAGGATAATATTGCAGAATTCAATCTGGGATGGTCACCGAGGCCAGAGATGTTGTTTTCTGAAAGTGACCGATCCAGATTGGATCCTGCAAAATCCATGTGGTCACTAAGAGCCAGATACAACCTGATGGCACATAATCACTTACCTGGATGATATTTAGCAGCCTCTGTACTGTGTATCGACTGGCAACTCTCAAATACTTAAAAGTCTGCGCTACTATTACTGTTAAATCTTGTCATCACTCCTTATCACCCATCCCCTCCCACTTGTGACTATATGGCTGTAACTTTGTCGCTTGTATACTTACAATTTATATTGACTGTTTCCTAGTATGATTTGATTGCTTATTGTACCCTATGACTAACATTAAGTGTCATACCTTATGATTCTCGACTCCTGACAAATTTATCTTTTCTTTTATGTATACTGAGAGTATTTACACCAAGACAAATTCCTTGTGTGTCCAATCACACTTGGCCAATAAAAGTATTCTATTCTATTCTATTCTATTCTATTCTATTCTATTCTATTCTATTCTATTCTATTCTACTCTATTCTATGACTTATGAGTCTGCTCATGTCCAGGAAACACAAAGGAGGTAATGACTACAACAGCTGTTTATTAGATGTACATCCCATTTTTTTTCTCCAGAGACTTTTCATTCTAGCCCCCTAATAATTGCCCTTTGGGGTGACTTGTAACTGGCCTCAGAGGCTAGTGTTTGTATTTTTATTTTTTTATTTGGTTTGTCAATTGCTTACAAGATAATAGGTATAAGTAAAAACATAGTTATGAATACATGGATACATATAAGAAAAATAATATATATATATATATAAAAGAAACAATAGGACAGGGACGGTAGGCACGTTGGTGCGCTTATGCACCAATGTGAATGTGAACCTTGGTCTTCCCAAACCATACCCAAGTGTTACACCACACAGCTGGAACCGCTGGCGTGCAGGCTAAGAGCGCCAGAGACAGGCCAGGCTGACAACAAGCCTGGGGAATCAGCGGCCTCGGGACCTGGTGGCACCTGGAGCGGGAGACGGAGTCTCCAAGCCACCGTGGCTCCTCGGAGGGCATGCCAAAGCCGCCGTAACTTCCTGTTCAGCGTTACCTCTAGGACCTGGAGGGAACCGAAATGACTGGGCTCCGCCGAGATTGCAAGGAGGAAGACAAGCGCCACCATAACCGGGTCTGAAGTCGGGCTGTTCCCGCAAATCCAGGCTCCCTTTTCTTTCCTCCCGGACCTTGGCAGCCTCCGCTTCTCCCAGCACCGGCGGAGAGATCCCTGCCGGCCATCTGCTCCCGTTGGAGGCTTTCTTTGTGTCCGACAATCGCAAGGCAAGCAGGGAGGGAAGGATTCGCCTCTCTGGCGGCAGAGGAAGCGGAGGCTCTGTGCGGGCAGCTCTTTTTCTCCGGGGCGATGCGGGAGGAGGGAGGGAGGAAAACAAACAAAGGGGCGCAAATGAAGGCTTGGAGGCATCGCGCAAGGAGAAATTGCGGCCTTTGCAAGTCCGGGGTGTCGCCTATGCAGAATAGGCAGGGCAGTTGATAGGCAGAAGCTGCTCTTTCTTTGTATAGAGTGGAAAGCCCGTCTCGCTTGAGTCGCCTG